AAGAATTAAATAAAAGGATTAAAGAACCAAAGAATTAAAATATGAAAGTATGAAAGTTAAAATAATAAAATAAATAAAAGAATTAATAAACAAAAAGAATGAAAGAAATAAAAGAACTAAAGAACTAAACAAAAAGACCAAAGAATTAAAGAATTAAATAATTAAATAAAAAAATCAAAGAATGAAATAACAAAATAATGAAATAGATAAAGGATTAAAGAAATAACAAAAGAACTAAGGAATTAAAAAATCAAAGAACTAAAGTATAAAAAACAAATAATAAAAGAAATAAAAGAATAAAAATAAAAGATCTAGAGAAGGAAAATAAAAAAATAATATTAAAAAAAAGAAAAAGACTAGAAAGTAAGGGAGAGAAAGGAAAAAATAATAATATTACAGTATGTACAGCCTAGTTCTAATAAATGTATTTTAAGCAGTATTAAGCCTAAATACTACATTGTTAAAATAACAAAACTGATTTACTAACAGGAAATTTAAATCATAAACTATAAAAAAAATAAATACAAATTTATTTAAGTTGAAGGGTCAGGTCATCTTTATTGATGATTTATATTTTAAGAAAATAGATATTGGCAAAGATATAGTTTTTATGTTATTAAGATATTTATATAAAATACAATTATAAGATAGAGAAAATAAATATAATTATGATAATAAATATAATAAAGAAAATAATAATAAATATTATAATAAATATCACAGTGATAATTATGATAGCTATGATAATAGTAAAAATGATAATTACGATTTTTCTAGTGATCATTGGTGATATTAATTAGTACAGTCATTTAGTGATGCAAACAGATTATTACTAATAGTGGTCAAAATTTAAAATGTCGATCTTTTATCATGTGATTAATAATCTTACAATATTATTAGTTCATACATATATATATGATAACATCATAGATCATAAGTAGTCTAATCACGAATAGTTTATCAAAAAATTTAATATATATTTAATATAAAATAAAATGAACAAATAATTTTTTAGTAATACATTTTTTATTGTGATACATTTCTATTGTGATATATTTTCATTTTTCTTATGATTTTATTTTCATTTATTATATTATTAAACAATAGAAAAATCATCTAATTATGATTACCCTATTGTTTTCTTTATATTATATGATTAAAAAATTTTTTTTGTAAAAAGAATTAATAATAAAACTTAATACTTACCATTGTTAACTAGAAAATTGATATGCAATATCTAACAAAACATCAAAAATAATTGAAAAAGACCTACAAAATAAATAATATACAAGTTAGTATTAATGATGTATCTGCTCTTGATGATTCTGAAGATTATCTTGATATTAATAATATTTCTTTCATAATGATCATATTAATGATGAATTAGTAGAAAATGATAATGCCACAAAAATTGTAAAAAACTTCATAAAGCAATGAAAAAATGTTATCAAGAAGGTGCTTTTTATGAAATAGATAAACTATATTACATAGAAAACTCAAATTACACTAGAAGAAGAAAGAATCAACAGCAACATGAGGTAGCAAAGGGAACTCAAACATTATATACCTTTTGGGATATCAAAAAACCTATTAAAGAGATTAATAAGGAATTGGCTGATAAGACTAATATAGAAGAGTTAGATGATGAAAATAAGACTAATATAGAAGAGTCAGATGATAAGATTGAGAATTACAATTAGTATAATAAGATTTAAACTGCTCTTGATAACTTAATATTAGATCTTAATAAAAAAAAGTTAATAGTGAAGTTTGGATACGTTTAAATAGCATTTAACTTTACCTTCAACTTATAAAATCTAACTATTTAAAAATAGATGCAAATGAGATTATTGTTAATATAGTAGAAAAGAAGTACAGTCAACTCTCTCTAAATGCATCCCCTCAGGACCATAGTGAAAAATTTAAAAAATGTGCATTTAAAGAGGGTGTGCATTTAAAGAGAAAATTTCTATATGATTTCTATATACTTAGGACTGAAAGAAAACGTGTATTTAGAGAGAAAATATATAGTATATATTTAGAGAGGATGTATTTAGAGAGGGTTGACTATATATTATGTCAGATGCATTCATTTATAGGCAAATGATTATATAATAACATATAAAATTCCTTATTTTTGTTAAAAATATTATGTTAAAACTTGAAGTTTTCTTTAAGATAAAGACATCCTTCTACAAATAATATTGTATATTTGAGAACTTATATGAAATATTATTCTATAAACATTAATGGTACAAATGAATGAGGTTATTTTATCAGAAATTAAATTTGTATTACCACTAACTATTCATCTTAATACTATAAGAAGCTATTTAAATGAACTTAGATATGTATATACTAAAGTAAAGAAGGGAATATATATAGATAGACATAAAAAAGAAGATGTGATAGCCTATCAAAAAATCTTTTTAGAATGAATGAACTAGCTTAGAGATAGAATGCCCATTTTTTCTAGAGATAATTAGAAAAAATAATATGATCAGATAGAAATGTATAACCACTTATTCTTATCACACATAATGAATGTATCTTTTTAGCTTATGATAGAAGTTAAAATCTTTGGATTTCAAATGAAAAACAACTATTACAAAAAAAAAGTAATAGATATTTGATCTATATTAGTAAATTTATGACTAATGTTTATGGTTATCTTATACTTTTAAATAATATGCAAATATCAAATGATTCTTTTAAAGAAGCCTGTGTAATTATATATCTAGGAAAAATTAATGATGGATAGTGAAAAGCTGAGAACTTAATAAAATAGGTGGTTGAATATGCTATACCTATACTTGAAGCACATTTTTCAGAATACTAAGTCTTATTTGTATTTAATAATGCATTAAGTCATACTATTTTTTTTAACTGATATACTTATTGCTAGACGTATTACCAGTCAAATATGATAATTAGACATAAATTTGATTAAGTCAAATATGGATCTAATAGTATTCTAATATGCATCAAATTGAAGTCTATAGTTCTGGTATAATTAGATAGCTAATAGTCGTATATTCAGACAGATTATTCAACTAGTATTAGTAATAAATTTGATCAGTATTAGTAACTTATTTGAATTAATTTCAGAAATATTATTTATACATAGTATATATTTTTATATGTGTAATACGTCCAATATATAGCTATTTAATAATTTTTTAGTAATATTTATATATATATTATATATTTATTATATTCGGATTATTCTTAATACAATTAGCAAATTATTTGTCATATTAATAATCTTCTATTTCGGTAGATTTTCTTTTGCCTTTTCGATCAGTAGTTGCTCTTTTCTAATGTTAGTTGGAATATACAATATAATAATGATTCTCAAATATAAAAATATGAAATAAATTATTTCACTTACTTCAGGTATTGTCGTGAAAAATTCGTTTATTTCGTTAAGTTGTATTTCATTCATTCTAGCTGATGCCATAGTAAATGATTCACTTCTTTTGTCATAATTTTTAATCTCTTTTGTGAAAAACAGGTTGATTAAATAGTCTTTATCATTTATATTATCTTCTGTATCGAAATAATTATAATTAATAAATTTATTTATCTTATTTGTTTTATCTGTTTCGTAATATTTATTATTATTATTTGCTTATTTAAGTACATTTTCAGGTGGTTTACTTGAGGTAAAGTACACCTCATTATTATATATGTATTCCTATTGCTTCTTGTTATAAACCTGTTGTTCAGCCATCAGATCTAATATGCCTCGAAGTAATGACTTTAACTATCAAAAGCAAAGATTAAAACAAAGTTGAATAAATATTATATAAACATATATTATAAAATAATATCTACCTTTCATGAGCATTACGGATGATCATAAATATAAAGAAATTTCTTTTCTTTAGAATTTCTTGTATGATATTTGTCTTCTGAATTAGATTGTTCAGGCAAGTAATAATCATTTTGTTGTAGAATAGATATGACTTCATTCTTATTGAATCCTTGAACACTTTTATCATACATCTTAAACAAGTTAAATGCTACCTTTATTTGTCTATTTTTTTTCTAATGAATATTATTAACAACGGTGTTAAAATAAATATAATAAGTATATATCTAATCAATTAAATATTTACTCTAGCAAGATGAGTATTGGCATGCAACCTTTTATCAACTTTTTCTAATATTCCAGCTTATCTTTTCTTTAATCTATCTTTACGGTGTTTGTGAATGGTTTTAAGCTAATTAGACAGTTGAGTGACTGATGGATAGAAGACACCTTCCATCATTCTCTTCAATTCCAGAATCAGATTCTCATATATAGTAATCGCTTGTTTAAAGAACGTTTTCTTATAATTCAGTTAATATTCAGCTGATATCTGTTCTTTAATCAGGTTTTTCATCTAGCCTATAGCAGAAAAGTTACATGTAATATATATTAAATAATTAAACTGGTCATTTATTAAAAATACTTACTCTAGCCACCATAGCATTAGATTCATCTGGCGATATTAGTTTGTCCACACTTAGCATCCTTAGTAACTCATAAGAATTATTTCTGAAAATCTAAATTTTGCGAAAATATGACAATTCTGTTTTTAATTTGTCATTTTCAGCTATTAGCTTGTCATTTTCATTTTTCAAATTGTTCATTAAAGGTTCAAATTACAGAGTTTTCATCTTCTAATAACTGAATCCTTTCTTCTAGATTCTTCATATTTCTTCTTAATTTGACTTCTATTTCTCATTATTGTTATATTTCAATTTGCAAATGAATGTTTTCCTTTTTTGAATTCTCTATTTCTGGATTATCTGTTTGAATTATTTAGTTTTTATACTTAGAAACATAGATACAGTTTAATAAACATCACAACAAAATTGACTTAATTATCACCATGTTTATTACTAATTGATCTTAGGATCTAATATTTGGATATCTCTCAATTAGCTCTTCAGATTGACGTTTTAGAGTAGTTATTTGCTATAGGTATTATCACAGTTACTGGATGAATTAACAAAGTTATTGACCAAGCTATTATTATGATCAGTTCTTTAAGATACTTATGAGTGATAAGCGAAGCAATATTTATAGGTGGTAAGCAAAAGGTTTAATTTGATATTTAGATTTAGAAGAGTGTTGGTTAATTAACAGTTTATTTAATAACTATAATAATGGAGTACTGCCTCAGTCGGCGTTCTGTACTATACAATTATATTAAAGGGATTAAACTAAATTATTATATAAAACTATACATCAGACACACTGTTAAACTAAAGGAAATTGTCCTCTATTTATATAAAATAAAAAATATAAAGTTATCGAAGATATAAAAGAAATAGATATAATA